TGTGTGGCAGTGTGGCTTGGGTAATGTTGCTCGCCTTTGTGGCATTGATTCACAGGTGCCCACCGGGTAACGATTAATGAGCTTCACTTATGACATCTTCTAAGGCGACGAACGAAAGTTCAGTGCTTGGCGTTATTAAAAAAAAATATTTAAACAATTAAGAATGAAACTCATTTCTTGGTACATCTTACAAATCTTTTTTATTTGAATTTTAAGAACTTAATGTAATTTTAAAGTCATTTAAATTTTAAATAGAACAAGAATATAAATATGTTCAAAATAAAGAAAATTTTTTTCAAAAATATTATCAGTTTTTTTTTTACTTAAACATACGATACACAAATATAATACTAACAAATTTTGATTTAATAAACTGAACCGTAAAAATATTCGATATATGAGCATTTATTAGTTTAAAGTATACTCTAAGGAAAATATATTTAAAAGACAATGCATTACAATTATAATAATTAAAATTATCAATTTCTTTCCCAGTTGTACTTACTTTCATACTTTGAAAATAAAGTAAAAAATAAACACTGTCGAAAATGTCGACAAATATTTACGAACATATATATGAAATATTTGTACGAAATATTTATGAAAATTTTCCCAATTCTATAAATGAAGTTCCTGCTCACAATAGTTCATATTTTACACACTGTATTGTTTATTTTAGTTATAAAATGATTAAAGAAATTAAAGTAAATTGAATTTAAAGTAATTTCTATTGCTATTTTAGTGATAATAACAATATTACTTTTAATTGCATAGACTCCCTGGATGCAATTATCGAAAAATAAATTCTTTATCTGAATTTAATTAGTGTCTTAAAAAAATCTATTGAAATACTTTCATAAATTTCTGATAAAATCTCCGTTACTTCTGTATTTTATAAGCACGAAAAGTAAATAATTTGAGATAATTAAGAACAACTACAAATATTACTTTGTGAAAATAAAGTGAATAGCTTCAAAAACAAAGATTATTAAAATTTCGTATACATTAAGTTAATGACACTTCTTGAAAACTTATGTTTTTTTTTTATACAAATGTGATTGCATAATAAATTAGAATCAATTTACGAACTTTAAAATAAATTGTCATCGTGAATGAAACCATTTAATTTGTTTAAATTTGTATTTTTGTGCATTTTGTTTTATTTTCAATAAGCCTAATATATATTTAATGCAATTATAACGATTTATAGAGTGCATATGCAAATTTTATCATTCATGGTTTAATTTTTATATGTTTAGAGAATTTTTTAAGATAATTTAGATGCTTTTTTAATTTTTTTGTATAAGTAACGTTAAATAATATTACTATACATAAGTACAGTAAAAACTGTTGTGCAATACCTATTAGAATTTTGTGTCAAAAAACTCTAAAAGTTGCTTGAATTTCTACTTTTATTTTAAGTTTAATACTAAATCAAGAATTCTTATCAAAGGATGAAGTTAAATTTTAACACTATACAAACTGCAGATCGTTCGTGAAGATGGTTGTGTTTTTCTCAGCTTCGTAAATATTTGACGAATAATTAGTGTACATTTGAACTATTTAACGAAAGATTTGTGAAAATAATGTCAGGGAAAGCTCTAAACGCATAACCAATGCTTTTGGAATGTTATTAGAAGTTCAAAGGTGAATAATTGCGCAATTTTAACATAGTGACAGTATGGCGGCCAAGATGGTGGTTTGATTACATTAAGTGTTGTGGTAAAATATGAGTTCTTCTGCTCGGATGAAATTGAAAAATTAGTCATTGGTTATATTTTACCAAGTAAGTTTCAATCTTCTTTGCTGATTGATAAAAAAAACATTGATTGTGGTGGATTATTTGCCAAGTAATTTCAATGTTCTTTACTGATTGATAAAAAAACATTGATTGTGGTGGATTATTTGCCAAGTAATTTCAATCTTCCTTACTGATTGATAAAAAACATTGATTGTGGTGGATTATTTGCCAAATAATTTCAATCTTCTTTACTGATTGATAAAAAACGTTGATTGTAGTGGATTATTTGCCAAGTAAATTCAATCTTGTTGTAGGATTGATATGACAAATTACTCATATAAACTGTGTATTATCATACAGAATTCGTATCGACCAGCTGTCGCTGGGATTCGAAGCCGATTCACCCCAGTGAAATGCGAACGCTTTATCCCCTGAGCCATCACGACGAGAAATATAGTATTCTTTCAGTTTTTCAACTCCAAATTCTGAGTGATATAACACACCAGTTTTTATTGTGCAGGGAAGAAACAGATCATCATGCAACACAGAAAATTTCGCGTAACATTTATGAAGTAAAACAAAACCAATTTATCATTTCTCAAATTTAACGATTTATAAAGATTCTTAAAAAGAAGAAAAATCGTATCTAGAGTTTCTTTCTTTTCTTCTCATTTAAAGTTCCATCGTATCTCAAATAGTATCACAAGAAGACGTGACATAGTTACGATAAAACTTTGTTAATCAAAAAAATACCTTCACAGGAACATTTCGTCTGCTTCGGAACCTACTTTACCGTTATCAGAGTAATTACTTTTTCCTATTGCATGATATTTTATTATGGGTTGTTGGGATGCATTATTCCAATTAACCGTCACTTGACCTTATAAATCCTGAACATTATTTCTAAGGCCGTTATTATTTTGCATGACTATAAGCTGCTTATCCTTTAATAATTTTCCATCTCTGCAATTACAGCCGAAAGATAAAGGATGTTTCTGCTGTGAAGTATTAAGGTGTAATTTATATTTACATAAAAACATTTCTTTGAAGTTTTAATTTAATTAAGGATTTGTCAACATTTTTGATTATCATTTCTAGTTTACGCTGGTATTTTCTCTTTTGTCTGGTGGTACGCATGTATGCCAGTCCTTCTCTTAATTTAAATTTTTAAAAAAATAAATCTAAATATTTCCGTCCTTAACACGGACACATACGGTACTTAAACGAAGAAAAGTTATACTTAATGAATGTACTTAAATGAAGAAAAGAAAAATTGTGAATAAAGAAAAACAGCTTAAGTAAAGCACAAATGAAAAAAAAACGTATATACTAACTCATTTTGTGTTTCGAAACTGATTAATATAAACCAAAATGGGCTACTCATTTTGTATTACGACATCGAAGAAAGTTCTTGTTTAATGCACTAAAACTTTGATATGCCCATTTTTGTTTCTTTGTTTTAAACATTCATTTTTGTACCTCCAAATTCAGTTTTTAACAACGACAAATATTCGAAAAAGGCAAATAAAACTCAAATAATTACATAGGTTCTTTTGTAAGTAATATTAATTCGATATCAATATTAAATATTTATTCGATATTTTAATATCGATTAAGGGGTCACAGTACCCTTGTAACAATTTTTTTAAATAAAGGTATAATCATTCATTTTGTGGGTGCTCTACATGCTCATTTAACTTATAACCAATAATTTATCTTCAAAAAACAATTAAATTGCTTAATTTTTTTAAAATTTAAAAAAAAAATGAAAAAATTGAAAATTTTTAAATCTCTAACGCTTTTTTATTTTTACGTATTTTCAAAAAATGTTTTTTTCTTAGTGATTACAATATTCATCTTAACAATTTTGTGCATTCATGTTTTTGAAATAACAATTAAAATAATTTTTACAGATTATTTTGTAAAAAAGTGGCAAAAAAAGGTTAAAAATTCCTGTTAGATATATGTAACATGCTGTAAAAATTGTAATATCTCATAAAATGCTTATTCCATGCACAGTTTAACTAAGTGTATTATGCTTAAGATTAAAAAGTTTACTTCAAAACTTTATCTTTAATAGAATAAAATTCCTTAGGGATTTGATTAAGATTAAAACTCAAAATTGTCATCTATGAGAAAAAGCACTTTAAAGTTCGTCTGCTGAGCAAGTTTCAGTATTAGGGCAATCTAAAATCATTCATAACTTTTTTAAAAATACAGATAGAGATGATTTTTTTTCAGTGCATTTGAAATAATTTTAAGTTTTATTATAAGCAATAGAATTTTTTTCGATGTTTTGGTCATTTTTTGGATACTGTGCTCAATGCTGGGAATAGCAGACAGGTGTGGGTATAACAGCCGGTATTTTAAGATTAAAAGTCTTTACCAAGTTTTTCCTATACTGATGTTTTTTTTAAGGTTAAGTGTCATTTCCTGTAATCTCAACACTAACGTTCTTCTTAATCTATCCTAATCGTACATTAAAATATCGTATAAATATTAAAATATCGTATAAATATTAAAATATCGATAAAAGAATTAATATTAAATCGGGCGTAATCTATATATATATTTCTCTTACACGGCACCAAAAAAAAGCCTCATTACAACTCCCCGAATGGCAACGTTAGAAAAGCGACCAATGATTGCTGCTAAAAATGTCACATGGCAAATGTCACATGAGGTGGCTCAACATATAGCGCTTTTAAAAACGGAAACAATTACCAGAGTGAGCATTATCAGGTTGTTCAATTCAGATTCATGCCCTAAAAACATGATAATATTTAATTTAAACTCAATTAGGAATTAATTAGGCTGGCCTTCTCCATGACTATAAATAAGTCACAAGGTCAGACTTTTGAGAAAATTAGTTTAGTTATTGACTAAACAAGTTTTTAGTCATGGACAACTTTATGTTGGTCTGTCAAGAGTGAAGTCATTTGACTGCCTTTCAGTAATTGCTCCAAGATGCCAAATCTATAATTGTGTTTTCAAAGAAATTCTAAATGCTAATTCTAAATTCTAAATGTGTTAATTTCTTAGAGCTTTGCAGAAAAAAATGTTTTTTGGAAAAAATTTAATTGAAACTTCTATTGGCAGTAGGCAAGGGGAACTGCCAAAATCAAAACGCTCCGATTAGAAACGACCTCGACGTGGTATTTCTCGGGTAATGCTAACAGCCATGCATTTTAATTTATTNACTTTCGTTTTTTTCAAATTCAATACGTTGCTAAGTTCTTACAGTTAATTTTTTTTCTAGGTACATGGCAGTTCTTCATCCCCTTGAATCCCGTATGCATCAGACAAAAGCAAGAGCAAAGAGAATATTATGCATTGTGTGGGCACTGCCATGCGTTGTAGCCATACCGTTTCTCTACCCATCAGAAGCTTTTTCAAACACATTGCAAAGTGAATACGGTGAGATATCCCGTCTTACTTGCTTCATAGGTCTACCAGAAGAATTCCGTCGAGCATATTACACATTTCTGTTTGTATTCATGTACATTTTACCACTAAGTTTCATTGCTGTTACATGCTACAGAGTTGCTCGGTGTCTCTTGCAAGGAATACCGGTGCATCGACAAGGAAGTATTAGACGACAGGAAGCCAACAGGAGAAAAGTATAATTTTATCATTGATTCTTTTTTTTTAAAAATCAAATACCTCATTTTTATGTCTTATTTCTAACTTAAGAGCTGTGAACAATAAAGTGATAATCCAGAATTTTTTTCAAAGGTCAAATTTTCACTTAAAATCTTCTTTAGTATTGATGCAGAGAGGGACTTAAACGATTTCAGCTGCACTATTCGGAGAAACATCTTATTGCAATCATGAGAATCAGTTTCTTTTTATCTGCAGAAACTCTAAAACTGTAGCTATTGTCCTAGCCTTTCAATATAAAAGGAGCTTCATACAACTACAGAGAGGCTAACTTGCTCCGAACAGCGGATAAATATTTTCAAGGGATAGTCTTTTCATGTATGTTTCTTGGTTTACTAAATTCAATTTATAGGGCTTTTACTCCACACTACTTCTAAATAATTCTTATGTGATGTCACTTTATTAGAGTTAAATCACATTGAAATTTCTAAGAAGCTGTCAAAATTTACCGAATATATGCAAATTTTAACTTGCAGTTCCTCATCGATTTTTTAAAATTTTATGTCGAATCTAGAGTTGAGGTTGGCTTATTCCAGTCTAAGAGCTATATTAATTTTTTGGGATAGATATGTAGTTTAAGCTATTGTGTTTTCTTCAACGTAGAGTGCGTTAAAGAACATGAATGTCGATGAAACTGTTAAACGCTTCAGCTGTTAAAGGAAAAAAAATCTGAAACAAAATATGAAAATGTTAAAGAAAAAAAATTCTGGATCAAAATTATTAAGAAAAACGTGAGTAAAGCTCAATTAAAGCCACAATGCAGACAAATTATAGTTTCAATTCCATTATAGAGGCATACTAATAAATAAAGTAGTTGCCAGCATTTTTGGTAAATTAAACTGAAATTTCTTATAGCGCTCGTAGTCAAATTTTTTATTTACTTTTTTTCTCTTTATAGTTTTTCTTTTATCTTTTTCTTAATTTTTTGCATGTTTGTTAAGTGATAGCACATATTTTCATGTGCATAAGTGTCAATTTAAAAGCTTCATTGCAATACATTTCCCTGAAAAAATAAGCATATTTTTAGTAATATATACAGGCTATTTTTTTCAAGCAATTGTTATTTTATCAATTTACATATTTTTTTTATGATTACTACAGTTCAGTACTAAATGTATTTGTATCGGTTTATACTTGAGAATGTATTTATAACAGTTGTATATTTTAATTACAAATACGTTATTGAATACGGAACAATAATTATTGCGCAAAATTGACAAAACAATTGCTTGAAAAAGTTAGTGCGTACATATTACTAAGGGTAAAATACGATTTAAAAGTATGTTCAGTATGTATAAAACTATGCTTGAAATACCCCGATAATTAATATTAGAAATAAAGCCTTAAAGGTTAAGGAAATTTAGTTAGTTCGCAGGGGAGAAAACAATCTAGATTAGAAGGTAAAACCATCAAATTATAAAAGTTCTAGTAACTAAACCTATTAGAGTTTGGGATTAATATTTCCATCGTAAAGAGTCAATGATATTAAACGTAAATCCGCAGGCAAAAGCTATTGATTTAAAGTAAAATAGCTCTTTATGGAGTAGAATAAAATTCGAATTAATTTGAGCAGAGCAGTAAACAAATTGGCGAAAGGTCATCCTTCGATAAGAGGATTAGGGGGAAAAGTTTTGAGATGGTACTAAATCGACTATTGTTTTCCGAAGAACAGTAACAAGGAATTTATTAAATCTGCATCCGGTTTGCACCGACCACAGTGCTGACTATCCTCAGTGGTAGACGGATCATGGATTGGAGTCCTTTTGCCGTCAGGCTAACCGTGGGAGGTTACTGTGGTCTTCCTCTCCATGTTACGCAAATGCGGGATAGTTCCATCTAAAAGTCCTCCACGAAGACAAATTTCTCCCAATACTTGATCCAGTTGTTCCCTTGTCTTCTGGATTGGGTTCAAAATTACAAGGCTACGGAGTTGAAACATTAGTAGTCGTAAACCCGATAATTCAGTCAACCACGGTTATAAAATGTATCATAATTATATATGAGTAATAAGAACGTCTAATAAAGGTAAACACTTATGAGAAAGTGTGCTAATACCGGATAGGTAAGATTCAAAGGATTGTTGGAGATAAAATTTTCTTCCTAGAAACTGTCAGATTTAATCAAGATGTTCATTGCTTGGTCGTGTATAGAACATAATTCGGGAAAAGTCACTTATGTATCACTTTTCTGTAACAGAGTTTTTTCTATAAAAAGTCTAAACACCCGTTCTTTCCCCACTCTTCTATATTTATTTATTCTTTAAGCGTGAACTGAATGCAAGGATCAATAAGACAAAAAATAAGAACATGATCTATAAGTCATAACAATATTTTTAATTTTTTACTCTTCTATGATTAAGAAACCGTAGTGATAGTTAGGTATCATAAATGACCTAGAAAAAAGGCAATTAAAAATGTTCAAAAAAGCAATTAAATCCTTACCTTTAAGCTATTAAAAACACGTAAAAACGCATTTTTGTCAATAAGTTGCATTAATTTTTTCAATATACTCTAGTTTGAAATGCCTCACTGAGATTGAGAATGGTGATACTACATTTTTACATGAAACTTTATGCGTTGATCATACCAGCTTGTCTTTCTCTGAAAACAAACAGGTAGATGATAATGAAGATAACAAGAGGTCGCGTAAATGGTAAGATAAACTATCAGAATGGTGAGATAAACTATCAGGGACAGAATTGACAAAATGTTGAAATATGATATTTTGCCATTGTAAAAAATCATTCATGTATAGTTGCCACCGTTTTAATGGTTGAGGTAAACGAAATATATTTTGAAGTTCAAAACTTAGTTATTGTGCCTTAAATTATGCAAAATTGACAAGATAACAATTGTTTGAAAGAATTAGTACAAATATAGTACTACAAATGTGCTTGATTTCTTAAACGAAATGCTTTTGAAGTTAAGCCATCAATTGATTCTATGAAAATATGTGTCGTAAATAAAAAAAGAACATGCAAAAGTGAATAAATAGATAAAAAAAGCAATAATAGTGAAAATTCATATAAAAAATGTGATTACATGCACTGTAAAAACTTTTAGTTTACCTCAACACCAAAAATACACCAAACTATACACCAATTTTTTTTACAGTGTAGTTAAAGTCATTAGCCTCATTATTAATATAATTTTTAATTTTGTTCTTAGAATAGTTATGAATGATAGAATAAAAAACTAATTATAAAAGTAAATTAAAAAGAGAAGATATGGAGGCTAACGACCTGTAATAAAAATGATATTATTTTAAGCTAATTTCGATGCGAATGTCGTTAACTAATAGTCTCAAAATTTATTATTTCGCCTGTCAATGAAGAGTGAGTAGTCATATTTGTTACTCATTCCTATTTGTTAAATCAAATATGTAACATTTTAATGTCTAGTTTAATAACATTTAAGACAGTGGTTTCGAATTTTTTTTCGTCTACAGAACTTTAAATAATCAATCTTCTTTCAGCGGAACCCCAATTTTATAATTGAAGTTTCAGGTAATTATGAACGTTATAACCGATGAAAGACTATATTTGAAATAATTAATTAGAGGAATGAAGATTTTTCATCGTTTTATCATTGATAATCTTAAATTAGGTTTTATGTCCGACTTTAAAATTGCATTTGTAGTCCAATCTAGTTTAATTATGAATGTGTTTCTGATGTAGGAAGAAAATGATTAAAATAAGTTTAAATATAGTTTACTTCGAAATGAAAGCATAAGAAAAACTGCTATGACAGTTGAAAAGGATTATTATAGAAACTTATTTCTTTATTAAAGAATTTAATTATTTTGATTTAAAAAAAACACGATAGGACATACTAATGGAATATTTTATAAATGGTTATTTTCTTTAAATTCTTTCTGTATATTATTAGAAATTTATTTTTCTATAAGAAAAACTATTTCTATTTCATTGGCACTTTACTTGAAATAATTTCATTAAGGCAACCGTAAGATTAAATGGATTATGAATTATAGGTTGGATCTAAAAATAATAATTCATTGGCACTTTACTTGAAATAATCTCATTAAGGCAACCGTAAGATTAAATAGATTATGAATTATAGGTTGGATCTAAAAGTAATCAGAGGTTTCAAAATTCTTCACTGATTGTAAAAAGTTCTAACTCGCGGAACCACCGTAACTCCTTCATAGAACATTAGAGTTCCGCGGAACACCATTTGGGAACTGCTGATTTAAGAGATAGAAGGGACAAGTAAACTAATTGGCAGCTTTTTTCATGAATTTTGAAGAGATAAAAAGAATAAAATAGTATATATTTATAGTAGCCTTAATATATAGCTACAAAATATGAACAATACATATTTATTATCCTTGTTTTCTCATTAAAAATTTACTTTTACTACCAGTCAATAAAGTTAGCAGGGGACAAAAGTTAAATTTTACACTTTCGAATTACTGTTAGTCATATTAATTATGATATAATAAATTCACTTTTTTTTAAAAAAAAGAAAAGAAGCTAAACTGGAAGACTTCAATAGTTTTTTCAAAACAACATTAAAAAAAAGTTTTAGGAACTACTCATTGAATAAAAGCGTTGGACAAATTTCACATTTTCAGATAAATTATTCATATATGTAAAGTTTGGTCGATGGTTTCAGAAACTATTTCTGTAAAAAGAATAGTAGTTTATTTGATATGATAGTATCCCGATTGTTGAACTATTTCTTTTTCTCTAGTAAGGGAATTGATATATGCTCTTAATATTACTATTAATTGCAAATGTACTTAAGCTAGAAAATAAGTAATAGTTCAACAGTCGATACTATTATATTAATTCTTATTCTAGAAAAGAATAAACTGTTCAACAATCGTTATTACTGCAGTAATTTGTTTTGTTAGAAAAAAAGAATGAATTCAACAATCTATATTATTTCATTAATTCTTATGCTGAAAAAGAAGAAATAGTTCAACAGTAGATACTATTATATAAATATTTACGCTACAAAATAAGTATGAGTTCAACAAGCGATAATATTATATTAATTCTTAATTCAGAAAAGAATAAATTTTTCCACAATCGTTATTACTTCAGTAATTCTTTTTGCTTGAAAAAAAGAATGAATTAAACAATCTATATTATTTCACTAATTCTTATGCTGAAAAAGAAGGAATAGTTCAACAGTTGATACTATTATATAAATATTTACGCTACAAAATAAGTATGAGTTCAACAAGTGATAATATTATATTAATTCTTAATTCAGAAACGAGGAAATAGTTCAATCTATTCTATTATATAAATTCGTACGCTACGAAAGAAGTTGTAGTTCTAAAGATATGTAATATTAATTCTTATTCTAGAAAATAAGAAATTGTTGAACAATCAATACTATTTTATAAATTTCTACGCTACAAAAGATGAAAAAAAATTCACCAATCGAGGTACAGTGAAACCGAATGATTTATTGTTCCTTTTTTAAATTAGTTTTAGAAGCTAATGCACGTATTGTATACATGTATCATAGTAAAATACTTCATCGAATTCTTTGCCCGACCCTCAGGGCAGATTTCTCAAGTTCTTAGATGAAGCAAATTTAAAGTCGTTGAGAACAAAAGTCCGCTTCGACTTTCATATAGCAGAAGCATCAGTTTATGTGAGCTGAATTTTGATGTAAGGAACTCTACAAAGAATAAGTTCTTGTATAATTTTGTTCATTACAGCACTTGTCGGACTTTATAGAGAAAAATATATCGACAATTGGGTCCAAGAAATTTTTTTTTTCTAGAAATGGTGCAATCTCTAGTTTTTGTTTGATGACAGAGTATCATCAAGTACGAAACTTTTTAAGATAATAACTTTGCTGTTTTAGATTAAAAAAGAACTCCCATGACTTTTTCAATATTTATTTTACAAATTTTTATAGCAATAAAACTATGATGTTAGTACCTTATGGTAAGTAATTTAGATTTGTGTGTACGGTGGTTAGCAGTTTTTTTGTAAATTTTTTTTCTTCCTTTTGCTAAATTTCTTTTTTGTTATAGACAACGCAACCTGATTTGGAATTCTGAAAACTCCCTTAATCACAAAATACACATGTATGTTCTTATCTGTAAAAAGTGATAGAGGTTTAATATTACAGTGTCTTTGACTGAAATTTCCAATTATAGCATTAATTTGTTATAATGAATTCGGAAAAATCATAATAAATTCTTCTAAAATAACATTCTCGATACCTCTGGTGCTATTTGTGTGAAGATCTAGTATTTTACAATGTAATTTCAATTCACTCATTTATTGTTTTTTTTTCCAGTTTTTCAAGGAAATACACATTGTTTTTTACTCTTACATGAACATAATTTTTTATGCATCAAAGAAACATGTAGCATTGTATAATTTAGCACAAACAGCAAAGTTTTATCTTAAATTTTCCCTCGATGAAAGTAACTCCTTTTAAGTTATCACTACTCTACATATTTGGGAAATTTCAGTGAATAGTTTGAAGAAAATTTCAGATTCAGTGATATTCCAATTGCATTCAATCCACTCTCACATATGATTTCGACTTGTAGTACTAAATAATCAATTCGCTTGTTCAATTCATCCATCTAATATTATGTATATTTTGCTTCATACTATGTAATGATTAAAACTTAGCTCTAAAATTTTTATTCTTCAGCTATGCACTGAAAAATAAAAATATATTTAACAAATTTTTATACAGAAATGAATGGTAATCAATAGCTACGTTGATTTTGATTTCACACACAGTACTGGAAAAAAGTATATAGCCGAGCAAAAAGTCGCCAAATATGAAACACCACTGTTATGGCTGAATAAGATAATCTATTTTCTACTTGTAAATGAAGAGGCAGTTTTATTTTTATTCCGCATATAGTCAAGACAAAATTGACTTAATCTTAAAAATTGACTTGGAAAAAGACGATACTAATTTTGTCATTGCCAGGCACAAAACATGTAAGAAAGTGGTTTCCCGCAGTGCAGGAAGTAAATCCGAATTGTGTAAAGCAGAGCTTGAATAGTTTGCACGTGCAATTCAACGTCAAAGGTAAATCATTAAACGGAAGGCGAATGAGGTAGAAAAGCTTTTGAAGAATAACAATTGTTTGAAAGAATTAGTACGAATAAATTNCCACTAATGAGGGGTTGGAAATTTTCACGGATGGTTCAAGAGTGGAGTTCGCCGAAGAGACCGATAATGGAAGTAGGATAAAGCACAAGACCGGCTATGGAATTATCATCAAGAGAAATGGGATAATCATTAAAGCGGACTCCATTAGACTCTCCAACAATTGCAGTATTTTTATGGCTGAGCTGATGGCAATTAAAAGTGCATTTGATTGGCTGGCTAAAAATGACTACCCGGATGCCACTCTTTTCACTGATTCGCTCTCATCGTTGCAAGCCCTAAGTGACCCAATTCCAAATAACAAAGAAACAGAAAATATGATTTTGACTTGTAGTACTAAATAATCGATTCGCTTGTTCAACTCATTCACATAATATCATGCATATTTTGCTTCTTACGGTGCAATGATTAAACTTCGCTCCAAAATTTTTATTCTTCCGCTATGCACAGAAAAATAAAAATATATTTGACAAATTTTTATACAGAAATGAATGGCAATCAATAGCTACGTTGATTTTGATTTCGCACACAGTACTGGAAAAAAGTATATAGGCGAGCAAAAAGTCGCAAAATATGAAACACCACTGTTATGGCTGAGTAAGATAATCTATTTTCTACTTGTAAATGAAGAGACAGTTTTATTTTTATTCCGCATATAGTCACGACAAAACTGACTTAATCTTAAACATTGACTTGGAAAAAAGACGATACTAATTTCGTCATTGCCAGGCACAAAACATGTAAGAAAGTGATTTCCCGCAGTGTAAGAAGCAAATCCGAATTGTGTAAAGCAGAACTTGAATAGTTTGCACGTGCAATTCAACGTCAAAGGTAAATCATTAAATGGAAGGCGAATGAGGTAGAAAAGCTTTTGAAGAATTTGACTTGAGTGGTTCCTAAATTGCAAACAAAATAGGAAGGTCCAAGGCTGTTGTGTAAATAGTAAGCTATGGTAGTTAACAGCGTATTGAAAGGCGGAAAAAAATTCTTCCAGGCAAGAAAGACGAATCTGGTAGCTTGATTGTCACCTTAAGATGTCATCTATAATTAAAAATGAAATGTAGTTGCGATGCAGCAGACGCACGGTTAGAAATAATTTAAGTAATAATTCGAACATTCAGTTAAAAAAAATATTAAAGTAAAAACCTCCACTTACTAAATTACATAAAGATGATCGTTTGGCATTTGCAATGAAACATCTTAAGAAGGAACAAATTGGAGTGATCTGATTAAAAGGAGTTTGATTTGGATTGACCAGATGGCTGTCCATATGTCTAGTGCGACTTATAGACTGAACCACACTCATTTTCCAAACTGGTCAATTTGGTGGTGTGTCCGTTTCGGCTTGGGCAGTTTTCGCAGTAGGCTGCGCAGCTCTAATTATATTTATAAAAACTAAAATGAATTCAATTATGCATCAGAATGCATTCGGAAATAATTTATTGCCTGTTGTTTCTCTTACAACATCCGGAGATAGGACACTCCAATAAGAAAATGCGGTAATCCATACTTCATATTCAACTGAAATGGAAGCAAATGGGACGAAGGAGACGAATGGAAGAAAATAAGAATAAACTGGATGAAAACAAATGACGCCCGGTGGCTGAGTGGTAGCGCTTCGTGCTCCCGTGCCATAGGTTCTGGGTTCAATCCTCGGGCCGGGCAAGGTTGACTCAGCCTTTCATCCCTTCAGTGGGGCGATAAATGAGTACCAAGCACGCTTGGGAACTAAACACTGGGGGTTTCGTTTTCGGCTGACCACCAAACCGGAACACCTGCACCCCAGAGCCGAATTCAAGAAAACTGAGATGGGCACAGTAGGCCTTGGCCCTCTTTGGGCTGTCGAGCCACTGAGTTTAGTTTAGTTTAGGGTGAAAACAAATGAGGTTATATCTCTTGAGTGGTAATTTCATAGCCAAGATCTGAATTTGGTAGAAAATCTTTGGGGCATATTTGTAAGAGACGTTTACAAATTTGGCGGACTATTCAAGAGCAAGTCGGTTTTGAAACAATATTGATACTAACATTTTACGAACTCTATCTGGATTCATGAATGCGAGAATGATAAATGTTATCAAAAACGAAGGATCTCACATTAATTACTGATGCTGTAACTGTGCCAACTTTATACTTTTTTTCAAATTGCTTTGTGTGGAAATCCAATTATGCCACATGAAGTAATGCATTTAGCTATTAATATCAGTTTTCTTATTTTGTACTCTTCTGAAAAAAAAAATTAAGGTGTATTTAAATGGTAGTGTATATGGGTCGAAAGATAATGCCAAGTCCTCTCCATCTAATAAAAGAGCTCCTGTTGCTACGGAAACAAGAGCAAGCACACTTCAGAAAGGAGAAATTTTCATATTTCTCTCTTCATTCGAATCTATACCTGCACTAAATGTTTACGTCTCACAATTACTTGAAATAGTTTAATCTCGTAACTATGGTTACCAGAAGTATTGGGCAACTGGCTAATGGTTCGCTAGACAAATAATGAATTTCCCTCTGACGATTGAGTTGTGTCAGGAGTGAAGATACCTCTTAAATGGACGTATATTTTGGTATTCAACTCATATACTATTCTTTTTCAGATTGCAAAGATGGTTCTGATGGTTATTTTAGCATTCGCTGTTTCCTGGACACCATACTTCTTAGTCAGCATCATAACACAGTATCAAACAGTGAACTTTATGCACAAAGAGAACTTCTTTTTCACTATGCTGTGCATCAATTTGTTTGCCTTTGTCAATTCGTGCGTCAATCCCTTCATCTACGCAGCCATGAGTACGAGATTCAGGAGTGGCTTTCGTGGTTGTTTTAGAGTTGTCTGCCTTCTTGCATTGTGCTCCCAACGTGAAGTAGAAAATGATATCATGGATCCAAGAATTGCAGACAGAACAAGAGGAAAGAAAAACGTTAGATTTATGTGTGAAGTAAGAAATCATTTTAAATTACATTCTAAAATAGACAGAGTTAAAAACACTTTTTCACAGCTCCTCACGTTCACGTATGCATGTTCTGAAGTGATTGAGCTTGCTTAGTTTTGAAGAATCTGGTGACAAGCAAGCGGAATCTAAAATCTGGTCTAGGCATGCGCAGTTATTCCAAAACATGCGCGAATTAACGAGTTATAGTATCAAATGGTATCACTAAATCTCTCGAATCTCTGTTGAAAAGGACATTTAGCATTAAACGTAGCATTAAATTAAAGAAGAACTACGTGCAAGAACTTCAATAACGTAAAAAACAAATATAGGTTTTTGGTATTATAATAAGTACTAACATCAGTATTGATATACAAGGTAAAGTAATAAAGCGGTTAGGAAGAAAGACCAGAGACAAATGCGGTGATCGCTAACTTTTTCTTAAAATCAGTCATTTTAAGTGTCCCGGAGACATCTTAGTTAACATTTGAGAAAAAAAATTATTTTTACTTATTCGGACCCGCTGAACAGAAATTTCGTTGTTGGCACCCCCAGGACCAAAAGGTCAAATTCCAGATAACAGTCAATAAAGTGATCGTTCTCTCAATATTATAATATGTCGACCTTTAATATTTTTTCAACTAAAGGCGTTTCATATGTTATTTTTGACATAGCTGATAGAAAATTGTTACATCTAAAGGCTTCTCCTACGTTATTTTTGACAATGATGGTCGCTACAAACTGTTAAACAATTATTTAGATATTATATTTTCTTACAATACTCTATAAAACTGATGATTTGGCTGGTGTATCAGACATTTTACTTTCAAAAAAAAAATACTGTTAGTTAGTTTATTTGTTAAACGCTACTTGATTGCGCAAGTCTGGCTCTTTTAAAAGTATGGCTTCTTAGGAAAACAGCCTTCATTCTGCGTAAAAATTTCGTCAGGCACCCTACAACGGGGTCAGAAAAAGAGGTTTGTTAGTATATACACTATCTACCAATAAGTATTTGGAAACTTTATTCATAATCAATAGTTGGTAGAGCCACTTCGAGAGGCAATTACAGCGTGAACCCTCCGGGACATACATTCCACAAGTCCTTGTGTGACGGCTATTTTCCTCCACTCAGCTTGAAGAAATTATGTTTCCTTCACCAATTTTGGACGGGTAGAGGAAATTCGGCAATCCAACTCGTCCAAGAGCTTCTCGATAGGGTTCAGGTCTGGGCTCTGGGCAGACCAGTCCATTTGATTAACCCCATTGGCACAATACCAAGCCTTGGTGACCCTCGCAACATGACACCTGGCATTGTCGCCTTGGAAGTAAGGGGGTCCACCCCGTAAAACTACCACAACGTAGGAAGCACATTGTCATCCAAAATAGTGCAGTAGGCATCTTGCATGGGACTAATGTCGATGTTGTTCCCTACACGATATATACCGGTGGTGGGCGTAACGTATCTCAAAACCACAGATATAGTCATATGCATAGGTGTCCAAATACTTATTGGTAGATAGTATATATATATATAAAGTACTAGATAATNAAAATAATCAAACCTAGAAATATCTAAAGCAAGAATATGTCTAAAGCAAGTTATATATATTAAATAATTTTTTAAACGAAAAATTAAAAACAAATAGCAGCTTCCTTTTAATTGTCGAATAGAAATTTAAAGAAAATAACTTCAATTTTTTCAAAATTTTTTCCATTTTATAATAAATATTTAATAATATATTTCCTAGAATAATACTTGAATGCATTTTAAAATTCAAAACAAAAAAAGCAATAAAAAAATTTATAATCTCCAGATTTTTTTTAAAAAAAAATTTCTATTATTTATATTTATTCATAACGAAAAAGTTATGAATGAAAAAGTTATTTTCTAATTTTCATTTAATAAAATTTCCATTTATAAATATTTATTTGCGATATTTTTTAATAAACATTATTAGTTTACAAATAAAACACAGCATTTTTCTGTAAGTAAATAACGTTATTTTTTATTTGAAATTAAGCAATTATTTGCTTAATTTTAGTAAGTATATTCCGATCCTGTGAGAACACAAAAATTTGAATTATAATATTGTGCGTTTATATACATAAATAAATTTATATATTTACACTTTATTCTTATTTTTCGGCATTGAAAGATTTAAATATTTAAACAGTTGTTTGCTAAATTATGAGCATTACATAAATGAATAATATATTATTAATCATATAAGTAACAATAACAGGTCACTTATTACAAACAATTATTATTGTTTGTAATAAGTGAATAATATATAATCTTATCAGATAATTTTATATATTTTAGGAGCATATGTAATTAAAAAAAACAAAGAATGAAGAAATTAATTAAAATGAAAGAATTAAAATGCAAAATAACAGCAGAGAGATCATTTAGAGTGATCACATCTGTTAAGAAATGTGTCAAATATAATTTCTGTCAATAAATTATAAATTCAATAATCTAAAAAATTTATAAATACTAAATATTTACATATTTCGTTTATAAAACTCAGTGACAAAACACCCAATTTTCTATGAACAAATATACAGACTTATTTTAATTACAATTTAAAAAAAACAAAACAAAAAAACAACGTGAATAAAACACGAATAAGAGTACAGAAATGATAATACTAATATAATGCTATTTGTGCTTAAATCACGTTCTTTACTTTTAAGCTTTAGTCCACATAACACAAAATATACCTTACTAGCTTAGAAATATCTTTTTCCCTTATCAAATTTAACATTATAATACTTGTCAGCATATTTCACCATTTTAACTCCCATTTCAACGAAAATTCAAAATCAAATCTAAATATATTCAAGTGGCGACTGCTGCTGAAGCTTGGTGTTTGATAGCGTATGTTAACCATTCCATAAACATGTGAAACAGGGTCTGGCGCTCAGGTACCACTGAAGTTCATCAACCTGCCATAACTTAGCCACATTTATTCGCGGCCTGCTAATTTGGTCCGGAAAGCTTTTACGCCATTGTGTTGGCCAGTTGTTCTTATGATCAAAGCAAAAATAAATGGATTTAGAGATTGGTTGTTGTTGATGGAATCGCAATTAATTCTACTCGGTAGTGGATGTCCGTATTGTCTACTTCGTATTGTGTGTAGTATTTGTTCGAAATTTAAGACCAATCGCGTGCTTACTTTAACAACAGTAATCTTGTAATTGAAATCTTGAGCAAATGAACGAAATTATCTGCCTGTCATAATAATTCAAAAAATGAAACGCTGCTGTGGCAATTTCAGTCTAAAGTATTGGAGTAACTATGAAATATCTAACTCCTGTCGATTATAACCTCAATTAGAGGATGTTAGTTATTGAAGATTTAATTGCGAACGAAAAAAGATACCACTCAATTAAAATACAAAAAAAAAAAAAGAAGATTGAATTAAGTGTTGAAGAGCGATACCATAGAGACAGAGTACTAAATGGCTCTGACACGACATTTTGTTTAAACTTTCTACCATACTTGCAAAGATTTGCGAGTTTCTGCTTTAAAGGGGCAGATACTGTGCCCTTTGTATTCCATTTTCTTTTCACTATTCAACCATAATTAGGCGGCCATCTTAAATTATTCAAAATTACAACCTATCGTTTAAATTACAGGCAGTATTAAGTAAGATCAATAGCCAACAGGAAGCTGTTCGATAGGATAAAAATAAACTAAATTCAAAAACATTTTAAAATTTTTAGAATATCAGGGAAACGTGGAAGGACACACCTCCGGATCAATATTTAAAAATCTCAATATTAAATCAATATATCTAAAACTCTCATATATTTAAAAATCTCAATATATTTAATTATCTTAATATATTTAAGAATCTTAATACTTCTCAATATTGAAAGTCATCATCGTATTCGACAGAAAAGATTTAGAAAATAAATTATACATTCTATTACCTTTTTCTTTCTTTGATTATTTAACTTGAATTGAATTTTCTATCTGCTCAAGGTGCAAGCTAGACTCAATCCAGTTTACTAATACCCTCATAAAAAGCTCGAGGAATAGAACCCCGCTCATCGTGTGTTAGAAAATGCTACTATACCCTAATCTAGTAATTTCAGTTTTCTGGAATAAAATTAAACCAATTATTAGAGGTTTATCGCAGAACATTTTAGAAGCTATCTTTAAATACGTCGTATTGGGGATAACTGGTGGCTTTCAGATTAAAAGGTTTTCTTTAACCAACAAAATTTCCACTCTTGTTGGTTACAGAAATCTTTAGAAGCTACAAGGACGTTGATTCGCACTTTGAATTCGAACGTTGCAGAAAGTACTGCAAATCTAATCGGTGTGCCTTCCTTAGGCATAGGCGTACTTCTGTTTCTCTTTCATTATTTCGATGAGAAATAAAAGAAAATTAATTGTGGTGGGTTGAGTAGTACGACAAAAAAAAGTCTTTCTGCCTGTTCATGGCAAAAATGACTTTATGAAAAGGACACGTGTAAAATATAATAGTTTTTCAATTGCAGGAAGTGCTATCACATCATACTTGTCATTCACTATCAAGTTGGCAGCTTTTAATAGGTTCCAAAAGCACTATTCTCTGCTGCCTTTACTTTTCACTGTACTTCTCAGCAAAGCAGCATAATATTTTGTAAAAATGTTTGAGATAAAATTGTTCAATGTTTATATTGCCAGCAAGATTAACCTCGTTATAGACGTTAATTTGGTACGCATATTGCATTTTGTTTTTTTTCTTCATGTAGCTGATTCAATATTTGTAATTAATGACGCACAACGTGTATCATTGATTGCAAATATTGAATCAGCTACATGAAGAAAAAATGCTAAAGTACAAAAATCCAGCATATACTATAAAAAAATCAAAAATATAATACTGTAATCGGTTTTAAGAATAAAATAAATTATCCAGCATATAATCAAAGAATCGCAATATTGAGGAAACATCTGCTTGAATTCTGAGTTCTCATTCGATAATTGGGAATGCCAACATCTAAATTCATATTCAGAATGCTCAAATTTGTAAAAAGAGCTCGCTTGATCAAATGTGACTCAAAATACTTCGAGAACCAGAAATGTTCGAAAAGAGAACCGGACTGAAAAAAAATTTTATGCATATTTAAAATCAGCTTATTTTGACTTGTAGTCATAATTAGCTTCCGACAATGTTCGACACTATATGGAAAAACATTGTATAGCCATAGTTTATAATTAATACATATTATTTTTCAATTTATGACGATTAATTAATTTATGCAGAATCTTCCTTAAAAACCACACTTAATACGTTATTTTTAAAATCCTTAGCAATAATCAAAAAATGTATCTTCAAATTGATTGTGGAGAAAAAAAAAAAAAAACCTTACCAAAATTTGAAAAACCACAGTATAGGATACCGATTGTAATGAACAAAAAAACAGGTTTGATTGCAAGAGAGAGCTTAGGGAAGTTGAAAGATAGCTATTAGAGACATCTTCAAGTTTCAACCTCCAGTTAAACCTGCTTTGATGTTTATTACCTTCTTTCCTTTACTGTATTTTTTTTATTTCGATACCATTTTTTTTCTTCTTTGCTAAAATATAATTTTTGACCCGCAATTTGAAAGGATTCCAAATATATTGAATTTGAAAGGATTTTAAAAATAGATATTAATAGTGATTTTTTTTTACAAAATACCCTTACTATATTGCTATTTCTAAGCTGAATTATACTGAGATACACCATTTTCCAATATTTCAGCCGCCTATGTCCTGCTTCATGGCCCAAAGTTCATCTGAAGGCAACAGTGGAAGTAATGCAAGAATGTCAGAAACCAGCCAACGTACAGCTTGTACCACAGTTCCAGCTGCCAAGCGTGGTAGTTCCTTCTTTCACTCTATAATCATGAACAATGCTGGGAGCAAATTTCTTGCACAATACTTAAAGAAAGATAGAGATGTCAAGCACAATGGACAGATACCGATGCTAGAAGTTTCACCCGATTCCGATAGCAAGACTGCTCAACCCACAATTCCGATGCCCATTTTCTCGACACTGGGAAAGAGTCAATTGTCTCGAAAGAGCTGTTGTAGTGCTGGAGATATAACTCTTGCATCAAACTTCATGGCGTCAGATGAGTCATTTTCAGGAAATAGAAGAAGTTCATCCTGTTTGGACTTGCGAAACAATCACAGAACCCAGTCTCAGTTATTTACCATGTTATATTAATTTAAATAAAATGTTATCGTCGAATTTAATATCATGAATGATCAGAATGAGAGTTAAGTCGTTCTGCTTAAACTGATATTTGAAATCTGTCGTTGGCAGCATTTATTTGTCAATGCGATTTAAAAAAAATCTATGCTATCTATGAGTGCAGTGTTTCGCGATTTATGCCCTCGTTAGGGGAAAGTCGGGTAGCCCCGCCCACTTAAGTAGTATTGCTTATATTTCTGTATAATATTGATTTCTGTATAATATTGAGTAATAATCAATATTTCTGTATGTTTCTATTGTTTTACCCTCTAATTAAATAATACAAACAGAATAAACCAAAAAGAGAATAGTTTAACTTAAAAAAATAGAAACTTAAAAAAACATGTTTTTCAGCTCTTTTTAAAATGTGTCTGGTAGTACCACCCAGTTACAAAAATTATGTTTTTTTGACTGTTTTTTCAGTTCTAAATGAAAGTGACCAATGTGTTGACAATAGATAAACCTCATTTATCATTTTTATCACAAAATTATTTTATTTATTTCATATTTATATACTTTTAGTGAATTCTATCTTTTAATAACAATCATTTAATAACAACAATATTTGTTGTTAAAAATGCATATAACATTCAAATTTGAAGCAATAAAATAATAATCTTTGCAACCGTACATTTATCGACGAAATAAAATTGGGCTGTGATACCCGACATTCATGTGAGCGAGGCTACCCGAAATCCAATTTTTTTGTAAATTTGTGATTACTCAAACAATTTTCCTCATATAAACTTCTTTTTTCGTGCAAATTAAACTTAAGACTACATACTTTAATGCTGTATGTACAGAAAAAATTATTTTTTTAGTATTACAATGAAGTTTAATCGAAACATTCAACCAATTTTTCTTACTTTCATGACTACTGTATTCAACATATTTTCAAAACTATTGTTTACCATGCTAACTGCTGCATAAATACTCGAAACTTTTAAAATAATCTTTTTTTAATATAACAATTAAAGTCCGATGGCCCATTGACTTGAAAAAATATTCTATACATATGAAATTGACTGACTCTCCCCTATATGTTTCTAAATATCAAACTAAGTAGTATACACATTAAAGGTCTCGATTTAAAACTCAAGCTAAAAAGTTTAATTAAGAGTTCAAACTAGTTATGAAATTTTGATCCTGCATTCCGTTTTAAGAATTTAAAATGTTTCAATCAAATTTTCTTTAAATTTGACAAGAATTCTTAAAATATACACAATATGCATTTTTATAATTCCTTAAAAATTAATGTTAAACAAGTGAACTTAGTAGAGGTCGAAAATTAATATTTAATCCTGTTTGATTATTGGAGAAAAGAGAGGAGAGTAAAGGTAATTTTTAAAATTACTTTCAGGTTTCATCAAGCAATCAAACTGGTTTTGAAAATTTTCATTTAACCTTTCTCACTTGCTGTTCAGTAGATTTTGATAATATGTTTGTTATTGCCTCACTTTAATAATAATATGAGACCGCTAATGTGTATATACTTTATGGACTTCTGTCTTAACAAGGATTATAAAGATATATTTCTTGGACATTACTTTTGCTATTAATGCTATTAAACATTGCGCATTTTGCTAAATATTAAGGAACTATAATTTGGAATTAAAAAGTTTTTAGATGCGTATTATTTTATTAATAAAACTTTTAAAGTAAATTGAAGATCATATTTTTTAATAAATGATATATGTTAGGCATCTATCATTTTTTTTAAAAATTTATATTCTCACTTGCAGTTAGAATAAAAAGTTTTAATTGTTCTGGGTATGTAAAATTAAGAAATTATGAAATGTATGTTATATTTATTGAATTTCATCAAAGGCATTTTTTTTTGTTCATTTGCTACAAATTAAATAATTTTTATATAAAAATAATTTTCTGTATTTTTATAACATACAATTTATAATATAATTTCTTGCAAATATTTTAAGTGGTGGTTAATTAGTAAACAAATAAGTAAATAAGCATTATTAAAAATTCAATCAAATAATGTATGAAGATATATGGAGTAAATAAAGAAAAGTTCCATATATTTCAAATTCTCGTATAATCCAAATTACGTTTAATGTGCAGTTTTTTTGTATACAAAAGTTCTCGGACCTGACATTAATTTATCTTAATTGTATAAAGTTTATTTGTTAATATATGTAAGATACATTACATGTATATTGTAATAGTTGAAAGAGATACCTATGCTGTTTGAACTTATTTGTTACATTTGTTTTGATTCGTTTTATTTTTAATCCTTAAAGATTGTAAAATAACGAAACTGATGAATAATATCAATCACATCCAAACCTATTAAATCTTTATGAGCTTATACTGTCTCGTATTAAAATATGTTTTTTAAACTTAAAGAAATAAGATAAAAAAACACGCCTGAGCAATTTGAAAAAATCATTAAATTACCCCAGGATTGTAAGAAAATCAAAGACTTATTTAGTGAGTGCTCTAAATAAATAATTTATTTTGCCTCTTCTATTGAGGTAATGAATTTAAATCTGAAATCAATGTGAGTATTCAAGTTTGTTTTGAAATAAAGTAAAACAGGGAAAAGAGTTATCATTTGTTATAACTAAAGGTCAAGGTAAAATAATAATTATTATTTATAATCTAAGCTTCTGACAGTAAAAAAAAAAATAAGATGAACGAATTGTTTGTTTGCCTTCGAAAAATTACAACAGGAAAAATTTGCTGTTCTGAAATTTTTCTTCATATTCGATTGTGTTCCATACAAGAATTTCTCACTTAAAATAATGTTTTTTTTTATCTAATTATGATACTCTCTTTAGTCAAATATTTAATTTTAAAACTAAATTTCCTCCTTAAAGGTATAAATCTATCATTAATATTATTTTATTTTCATCATAAAATAATCTTCTGAATCTACTTTCTCGTAGCATGAAATATTTTGATCAAATACTTCCTGATCTTGATCTTCTGTCTATTATCTTTAATATTAAATATAATAGATTTTCTTATTTTCTTCCAGTATATATAAAAATTACTTTCTTTTTCCTCTGAAATGTAATGAAAAATGCCTGCTAATAATATAAAAACTATTAATGTTAGAATATTTTAATATATGATCTGAACAATTTATTTGTAATGTCAGTGTACGTTTTGATATTTCGTCATCTGTATGTTGTTGTTACATAATATTATTAATGAAATGTACGTAATTCATTAAAAGTTATGATAACCATGCTGCATTTATTATTCAATTAGCTAAGTTCAAATATTTTCACAAATTATTTATAGTTTTAAGCACAAATTTAAAGAGATATATTAAAAAATGGCTTTAAAAAATTGAAAATAAAATTGTCTCATGTTTCAACTATTAGAAGTGAGGCAGTTTTTAATAAATGTCCCCTGAGGCAGTGCATTTAACCTTCTGTTTACGGCTGGTACAACATGTGGACCACATGTGAATAGCACACTATAAGCAAAGGGTTAATGATATCTTTAATAATACAAAAACCAAAGAGAGCATACATTTAAAACACGTAATATTAAAAAAAAAATTTAAGTCAATTTCCTACGTAGGACAACAAAACAAAAAAATATTTTAGTTACTTTTCAATAAATAATTAAAAATTAATTAATTAAATTTACTTAATAAATTAATATTTGAAAAAACTGGGAGAGTGTGAATTAATATTAGGAATAAAAGGAAAAAGGCGTGCGGTATCAGACAGGTATAAAAGTATAAATTTGGTGACTTCGACCGCACGTACTGCCACGTAAGGCTCCTATAATATGTCTAATTCAGGGGCTCTATTACCACGTAATGTTCCTTATTAAATTTATCTGACGTAGCAACTATAAAATAATTAAATATCTAAATGTGTGAAATACACTATTTTTTGTGGATTTATCTGACGTAGCAACTATAAAATAATTAAATATTTAAATGTGTGAAATACACTATTTTTTTGTTCAAATTGATCTATAAGTTAGAAATTTTCACTGGTGTTATCTCTAAAATATTTAAAAACTGAATCGCTTTTAGTAAAATTTAAAATAATAACTAACGCTTAAACAATCAGAAAATTCCATTTCATTTTTTGCTCATCTCTATTTAATTAAGGAATCAATGTCTGAAAAAAAACTGTATTAACATCAAGTGTATCTATTAATAATTGAAAAAAAACTGCATTAACATCAAGTCATCATCCACTACAAGTTCAAAAAATGTATTTGAACTTGAGTGGATGATGAAAAAGTTTTTTTTTTGTAACGATTGGAAATTTGAACAAGATATAAAGATATAGGGAGAGTATGAACTAATAGTTGGAATTGAATTATAAAATGAAACTATAATAAAGAAAAACCAGATGATTAATTCTTTGTGCGTAAAATGTTTTACAGTTTCTAATTTTTCCCTTTTTTTTCTCTCTTTTGATTCAGAAACACAACAGCAGCAGAAACAAATGAACGGAAGTTAGATTCAAAATATTGGGTGTATTTTAAATTGTTAAAACTACTGCCATGCGCATGAGCTTAAATGCTTTAAATGAAAGACAAAGGATATATGGTTTTCTTTTAGTTTTCTTGCTGTAAATAAATTATTTAATGTTAAATAAAAGGTTTTAATAAATATCCTAGATTATCAACTCTTCGTCTTCTGTCACATTACATGGCATCATCGAATGACTCACAGCACAAAAGACAGCAAAGCAACAGGAATTTTTTTATCATCTTCCTTATCTTTCCCGAGTGCAAAATCTTTCCAATTTTAGACAAACGATTCTTAATTAAAAATAATAATAATTAGAATTTCTAAAATGTTATAAAATTTGCTTTCCAGGAATTCGTAGACACTCATTTTTGTTTCTTAATACCTATACTACCATTCTGTCTGTTATGGAAGAACTGATATTAGTGGAAATTTCTTATATACAGTGCATTTGAAAACAGAAAGAGGGATACTGCAGATAATTCATAAAACAACAAAAATCACCTTTCTTTCTTTCTTATAAGCTGAAAAACATTTATAAAATATTACGCAGCATCTCTCTTAGAGAGACGAAAACAGTTTCTATTATTCATCCACTTTTAATAACAATTTTTGTAACATAATTCACCCTCGGAATGAGGCAAAACCCCCTATATATA